CCCTTGTCAGAGAACGCACCAGGAAGGACAGAAGGCCGAAACCCATAAGCAACCTCAAAAGGACTTAAACCAGTAGACGAATGAGACACCGTATTCCTGGCAAATTCAGCCCACGGAAGAAGGCGAGACCAGTCATCCTGGTGCGCATTAGTGAAGCAGCGCAAATACAATTCCACAGACTGATTAGCACGTTCAGCTGCACCATTAGATTGCGGGTGATAGGATTAAGTGAACGACAAGGAGACCCCCATCTCAGCACAAAAGCCCCTCCAAAACCGAGAGACAAATTGAGGGCCCCTGTCAGAAACGATATCCTGAGGTACCCCATGCAAGCGGAACACTTCCTTGGCAAAAACCTGAGCAAGCTGAATCGCAGAAGGCAGTTTCTTAAGCGGAATAAAGTGTGCCATTTTAGAGAACCTATTCGTCACAGTCAATATCACCGTCTGACCATCAGAAGGAGGAAGGTCTACAATAAAATCCATGGACAAGTGGGTCCATGGTTTCTTGGGTACAGATAGAGGCATCAGCAGACCCTGGGGTCTCATATTAGGAGACTTACACTGCGTACAGACCTGACAAGCCTGAACAAAATCCACTACGTCTCGCTTGAGTGTAGGCCACCAGAACTGTTGAAGGAGGCTCTTATAAGTCTTGGTAACCCCCGGATGACCAGCAGTTTTGGCGGTGTGAAATAAAGTTAACAACTTTTTTCTGTCATTTACTTTCACGTATAGTTTACCAACAGGCATCTCAGGGGGTGCTTGGATTTGGTATGTCTTAATATTCTCAAGGAAAGGATACGAAACAACCAAATGGGTAGCAACTATTATCTGAGACGCAGGTACAATAGGTTCAGGAGTCGGGTTAACAAATTCTAAAGGTTCATACTGTCGAGAGATAGCGTCAGCTTTGGCATTACGGCAACCAGGTCTATAGGTAATAATGTATTGGAAGCGCGAAAGGAATAAAGACCATCTAGCCTGTCGGGCGGACAACCTTCTAGCATCAGCTATATAGGAGAGTTTCTTATGATCTGTTATAACCATAATTTTGTGTCTAGAACCCTCTAATAAGTACCTCCATTCCTTAAAGGCTAACACAATAGCTAATAGTTCCCTGTTCCCAACATCGTAATTCTTTTCTGGATCAGACAACCTGTTTGAAAAGTAACAACAGGGATGGAGGGGTTCGTCATACGATAACCTCTGTAACAGTACTGCTCCCACCCCCGATTCAGAAGCATCTACTTCCATAACAAAGGGAAGAGAAGGATTAGGGTGGTGTAGTACTGGAGCAGAGGCAAATGCTTTCTTGAGAGTTTTGAAGGCCTTAAGGGCTTCAGGAGTCCAAACCCTAGGGTGTAGACCTTTTTTAGTCAGCTTCGTGATAGGGGAGATAAGTGGTGAAAAGTATTTTATAAATTTCCTATAATAGTTAGCAAAACCTATAAAACGCTGGATAGCCTTAAGTCCTTGGGGAAGTGGCCAGAACAGTATAGCTTCCAATTTAGCAGGATCCATACTAAAGCCCTGTTCAGTAATTATATATCCCAGGAATTACACAGAGGTCTGATCGAACAAACATTTTTCTAACTTACAATAAAGTCCGTTCTGTAATAACTTTTTAAGCCCCATCCTAACATGATTATGATGTGACTTCAAATCAGGAGAATATACAAGTATGTCGTCAAGGTACACCACGGCACAGACATGCAATAGATCCCTAAGGACATCATTTATGAGATCCTGAAACACAGCAGGAGCATTACACAGTCCAAAAGGCATGACCAGGTATTCGTAATGCCCACTATGCATATTGAACGCTGTCTTCCACTCATCATTCTCCTTTATACGGATAAGGTTATAAGTCCCCTGAGGTCTAATTTAGTAAAGTACCTAGAACCTTTAACACGATCAAACAACTCAGTGATGAGGGGGATTAATCGTTATATTGTTCAGAGCCCTATAGTCTATACATGGCCTCAAATCGCCCTCCTTCTTTGCCACAAAAAAGAAACCAGCACCAGCAGGAGAGGAGGACCTTCTAATAAAACCTTTCCTTAAGGATTCCCGTATGTACTCCTCCATGACCTGGTTTTCTTTCTCAGAAAGAGGGTAGACCTTACCCTTAGGGGGCATAGTACCCGGTAACAGGTTTATGGCACAGTCATAGTCACGATGCGGAGGTAGCTTATCTGCCTCCCTTTTTTCAAAAACCAATGCAAGGTCTGCATATACAGAAGGGACAGAAACAGAAAGTGCGCATGTTGAGTAAACAAACAGGACGTACATGAGCCATACAATCTCGTTGACAAGATTCCCCCCAGGAGAGTATATCTAAACAACCCCAATCGAGTACAGGGTTGTGTTTCACTAACCAGGGAAAACCCAGAACGATGGAAGCAGTAGGGGAGTCAATTATTTGGAAGGTTAACCTTTCCTTGTGCAAAACACCCACAGACATCACTATTTCTTGGGTCTCGTGGGTCACCAGAGGTTTCTCAAGTGGTCTACCATCTATAGCCTCAACGGCCAAGGGTGTGGCCTTTTGGATCAAAGTCAAGGCTGTGGTTTTAGCAAAGTTCTCATCCATAAGGTTGTCTGCCGCACCTGAATCGATCAAGGCTTTGGTTGTTATAGTGGTTTTATTGACCAAAAGAGAAACTGTAATAAACGGTCTGGAGATGGACACATGAGGGGACAAAGTCATAACACCCGAGGTCGACCCCTCTCTAGGCCTTAGGTGCTGTAGTTTTCCTGTAACTTAGGGCAGGCATTACAGTGGTGCCCCCTCTTTCCACAATAAAGGCATAACCCTTCCCTTCTACGATACGCTCTTTCAGCCTCAGTTAGCCCCGTAGCACCCAATTGCATGGGTTCGGGG